AAGCATTTTTTATGCCTTTTTGACATACTCAATGAGTGTGTAATATATATTTTGCAAACCTTACGTGTGCTACAGCAGTATAATACATCATATGTTGCTCCGCTATGTCATCTGAGTACAGCAATACTTCCGTATGTACCTTTACCAGGTATATGACAACGTTGAAGGGGCACATTCCAGCGTCCTTAAGAGGAGTGCTGCAATGACGGAAAATTTCCGTCCAGCATCCGTAACGTGTTATAGGGACACTATAGTCACCAGACCCACTGCAGCTAAAAGGGACACTACAGGCACCAAGACCTGTTTATATCATTGAAAAGATCTGGGTGCAGTGTCCCAGTCCCACTTAGCCCTTCAACGTAAATTATTTAAGTTTTTTGTTTTTTAATTCTTTATTTATTAGTTCATGTATATAGAGTTACATATTTTCAAGAGATCAAGACAATTAATAGGTATAGAATACACTGGTGTCGCGGGTGTGAAGGTTCAGAGAGTTCCACATTGGATAACATTCAAGTTTATATTGCAGATACACATGCGTGTCACATCATTTGAATTAAGTTAGCAGGGCTAGTATGCCTGTGCAGTTTGTGCTTAGTTTGTAATTTGTCAGTTTGCCTATGCAATTGTGTACATTTAGCCCTGTGTCAGAGCAGTTTGAGGGGTGACCTTAAAAATGCCTCATTGCTCACTAGTGGTGACGTGTCTCGATAACTCCATATATAGTCATGGACTTTATTTTTGTCTTTTAAGAGAACGTAAATTAAGTAGCGTAAGAGGGACGAGAGTGGATACAGAGGGGACATCAGGGGGAAGAGAAGGGGAAAAAACAGAAGTGGGGGCATCTCAAGCAAGGGGGCGGTGAAAGCCACCAACTCTGCTCATCTGCAGTCCTCATCGGAAAAAAGGTCATCCTCCCATGGTTGCCAAATTTTAGTGAAGGCAGAATACGTATCTCGTACTTGAGCAATGAGTTTGTCCATTACGTGTGTGTCTTTAATTTTTTTCAATAACCTTGTTCATCTGTGGCATGTCTACATTCAGCCATGTTTGTGCCATTGCTCTCCTAGCTGCCAGGTTAATTTTGTTAACCAGCTTTTGTTCATGGTTGGTCAGTCCGTCTATGGGTTTTGCTAAAAGGAAGGTCCAGGTGGCTATTGTTATTTGTCTGTGCATAATCTCAGTTAGGAGCTGTGCAAAACCCTTCTACCTTTGGACATGTCCACCACATGTGGGGGAATGTTCCTTTTTCCCCAAACCCCCTCCAGCAAGTGTCTGTGGTTGCCTTTCCCATTCTAAATTGTTAACTGGTGTGGAGTACTACCTCGTAAGTGTATTGTAGCATTGTTCTTGGTGTGTTACACAAATGGAGACCTTTGTGGTGGCCTCCTAAATGTCCTGCCACTCCCCGCTGCAGGTCTGTTTACCAGAGTTAGACAAATGTGGGTGCGTTTTCGTTGCCATCAGGTGCGCTTAGTTGTGCATACATAGTTGTGATGGGGCCTGTTATGGGCCCCTCTGTCATGCTCAAGTCTCTCATAAAAAGTTAGTTTGACCCTTGCCGCTGCTCTAACCTGTGGATGTCTGGCAAAGTCTCTTAGTTTGATATTCCTAGTAATCCTTTGAGGTTAATGGGGCTAATGTTTTTAATTTGTCAAAAGATCTGAATGTGCCTGCATTATACAAGTGACAGGAGCGCTGTAGACCTGTGTTTTCAATTCCATAAAATTCCCTAGCCCGTATACCGGGTTTGAATACTTTGGTTCTGAGGTAAGGCGTTAATGGTGATGGTGTGCTAATGTTTGCGGGCCTGGAGTCCCATATTTGTATTGAATCCAGTATTGCCAGGCAGCTAGTATGGGTATTGGGTCTATCCACTTTGGGGACCCATATCCAAAACTGGGGGAGGTCAGTACTCATGAGCAGGGTTTCCAGGTCCACTGACCTGTGGGCTTCCGGTGGCGAGTACCACTCCACTATCTGAGCCAGCTGGGCGGATAAGTAGTAGAGGTGAAGATTGGATAGACCCTGTCCTCCTCTACCATTGGGGGTATAAAGGGTTTGTCTCGCTATGCAATGTCGTTTTTTTGCCCATATAACATTATCTATTGCGGTTTGGAGCATTTTTAGATCCTCCCAAGCTACTTTTACTGGTAGAGCCTGAAAGAGGAATAAAAGTCTCGGCAGTAGGTTCATTTTAATGCTATGGAGGTGTCTTATCCACTAAATGTTTTTTTGTGCCAGGTGTCTAGGTCTTTTAATAATGTGCAAATCATGTGAGAATGGTTTTCGGCTTACAAGTCGTCGGGGATGACGTCAGCTTGATGCCTAGGTATTTTATATAATGTGGACTTATTATGAGACCGGTCATGGTCCCCAGCCATGCAGCATTTTCCTCTGATATCATCTGTGGCATTCCTACTGATTTATATAAGTTGGTTTTATAACCAGAAACCTGCTTGTATGACTCTAGTAGACTAGGAACCGACACCATCGGGTCAGTGAGTGTGAGCAGGATGTCATCTGCATACGCTGACACCTTAAATTCCTTATTCGCTACCTTTCCTTTGATGTGTGGGTTTGCCCTTATAAGATGCAGCAGGGGCTCCTGGGCCAGAATGAACAGGAGGGGCAACCAGGGGCAGCCCTGTGGAGTGCCGTTCTTCAGCGTGAAAGGTTGGGGGATTGCGCCAGGTATTATGGTTTGGGCTCTGGGGTTCACATAGAGATCTTTTTTTTTTTTTTTTGTAAATCTCTCACTGGTACTGTCTCTAGCTGATGGGGGATATGCCTATTTTCAGTTCAATTTGGACAAGGGGCCTGTTTAGGGCCAGACCAGGGGGTTATATTCCCCCCATATACCTGGGGTGTCTATGATTCCTGTAGGTAGTGATGGTGTATCCGTGAGGGCCTTAACAACAAATAACCTTCATTCTTCCTCTTTTTGGGACACATACAGGCATGAGGCTATGTGGGAGGTCAAGAGCTGTGGTACCATTGGGAAGAAATGTGATCTTAGCTTGGAGTTTGGTAAGGACATCTCTCCCCAGAAGTTGATGGGCCAGTCTGGCATGTACAGGAAGTGGTGTTGGATGACGTGGTTTCCCAAATTGGCAATGGTTTGGTGGCAGGCTTACTGGTGGCCCCTTCCATAGTGACAATCTGTCCAGATACGGTGCAATGGGTTTAGTTTTGATAGAGTGCTGGGCCCCAGTGTCAATCATGAAGAGGCTTTTCTTTCCCCCAACAGACTCAGTACAGGTGGTGTGGTTATAACGGATTGGGTATACTCAGGGGATTTAGGAGGTGTACCTGGGGCAGGCAGGTCCTCCAGGGCAGGAGGAAACTGGGGCAGATCGACAAGGTCGGGGTATATACGGAGGACAGCAATGGCCGATGGAACAGGGGGAAGGGGTAGGCCAGCAGGCCCTGCAGGCCTGTGTTAAGGGGGGGAGGGGTGTCCATGTAGGTCTGGGCTTTGGGACAAAGGTAGGCCTAGGGGTAGAGGTGAGTCTGGCAAGCATTAGACGAGCACCGTGTTAACCAGTCTGGGATTTCTCCACTATCTGTTGCCAGATACCAATATAAGGGAACTGGTCTGGGTGGCCAGGTGAACCAGTTACTATAGTTTGTATCTTGGTAATTAAATCTGGGTCCAAACTACCATCAGGGGGCCAACCGGGACAAATAACGGGCTACTCCTGTTCACACAGTACAATCAGTCTTTTGGGATACATTTTAACACCATAATCAGCTCTATAACCCTTTTTACAATCTAGAGCAGGCATAGGCAACCATCGGCACTCCAGATGTTTTGGACTACACCTCCCATGATGCTTCACCAGCATTATGGGTGTAAGAGCATTATCGGGGATGTAGTCTACAACATCTGGAGTGCCGAAGGTTGCCTATCCCTGTTCTAGAGGCTTAGGTGACATAGACCTCCCTCCTTCCATAATGGCAGACAATGATATCAACAGGCAGACAATACAAACAAGTTCCCCTTATCGGCGACCTGGACATGGTCACCTGGCCAAGAATTGCACCTAAACAGGCTCCACACTGGCTTCGCTAATGATAATGTCTCAGGCACTCACATCACTCTGAGTCACACACACATACACCATCCTCTGATACCGAAAGAGAAAAAACCCAATTACAGACACAGACAAATGACTTGGCTTGCAATGAGGTTTCAGAGGTTAAGGAAGTTTTTAGTGTTTTTGCCAATGATATACGGCAGGTTGCTTCCACACTGTCATTCTCTGAAGTTCTGCCTGTGCATAACACTCAGAACGACAGGCGGATGCGTATTAGGGACTTTAATTTGTGGCTTGGTGAATGGTGTTGGGAGCAAGGATTTGGCTTTATTTCTCATGGTAGCTCTGTTTCCCCCTTTCCCTGTTTCTCTCCCTCCTCCACATCTCTCTCCCCCTCTGTATCTTTCTCCCCCCTTTCCCTTTGTCTCTCCCTCCTCCACATCTCTCTTCCCCTCTGTCTCTTTCTCCCCCCTTTCCCTTTGTCTCTCCCTCCTCCACATCTCTCTTCCCCTCTGTCACTTTCTCCCCACTTTCCCTGTGTCTCTCCCTCCTCCACATCTCTCTTCCCCTCTGTCTCTTTCTCCCCTTTACCCGTGTCTATCCCTCCTCCACATCTCTCTTCCCATCTGTCTCTTTCTCCCCCCTTTCCCTGTGTCTCTCCCTCCTTACACATCTCTCTTCCCCTCTGTCTCTTTCTCCCCCCTTTCCCTGTGTCTCTCCATCCTTCAAATCTCTTTTCCCCTCTGTCTCTTTCTCCTTCCTCCACCATCTCTCTATTCCTCCTCTTTCTCCCTCCTTCCCCTGTGTCTATTCCCCTCTCTGTTTTATTCCCCCCATTTACCTAGAGAAGTCAGGGGAGCCGGCCGCATTCTAGGCTGGAGCTGCCGGGCCGGGTGGCAGCTTCGCCGGTCCGGCGGCACTTCTGTCACTAATGATGTTGAGAGCTGAAGGAAGAGAAGCATGTCTACCATGCTCCCTCGCGGTTCCCACAATTCCCAGCACAGTATACTGTATACTGTGCTGCGGATTGTGGGAACCTCGAGGGAGCATGATAGACATGCTCCTCCTCCTTCAGCCCTCAGCATCATTAGCTGCCACCCGGCCCGGCGGCTCCAGCCTGGAACGCAGCCGGCCCCCTCTGAGTGTGCCACCGGACCGGCCACCTGGTGGCACCTATATGCGCAGCACAGCCCCCAGGTATCCCAGTATCCCGGTGGGCCAGTCCGGCCCGCGGTGTGAAAGGTAGTGCTTCAAAAACAATATGGTAAGTAGATGCTTTGAAACACCCGTGAGGTGATACCTTTTACCTCACCATAAATGTATAGCAAGAAATTATTATAAGGAAAGACTTTATAATCGGTGGGTGGAGTGCTTATTGGTTAACAGGCAAGTATTTGCTTACCCCTTACTGAGAAGTTATATGAGATCTCGATGTGGGGTAATAGGTAAAGAGAAAAAAGTACAAAACAGATCTAGTGCAGATGGTATTTAAAAAAAATGCCAAACACAAAGTTGAATAGGTAGATACACTCACAACTTTCAGAGGCTGAGGATAAGCCTCTATAACAACACTGATGTGCTTTTGTAGGCAGCACCTTACCTTCTTGGATAGATGGAAAATCTCAAAATTAAGAGTCACCTTGTGGGGGGGGGGGAATTGACTTAGGGCCCCCACCCGCCGCCCAGGGGTGGGGGCCGGGGGGGGAGGACAGTAGTTCCCCCCTCATTATCTTCATGGCCCCCACCTGCCGCCCAGGGGTGGGGGCCGGAGGGGGGGTGGACAGTAGGTCCCCCCCTCATTATCATTTAGCCCCCACCAGCCGCCCAGGGGTGGGGGTGGGGGAGGAGGACAGGAGGTCCCCCCCCTCATTATCTTTATGGCCCCCACCTGTCGTTTAGGGGTGGGGGCCAATAGTTTTTTTTGTTTTGTTTTTTACAGTGAGCAGCTTACTAGACATGCCCCTACTCGCGGTATAGCGAGTAGGGGCAGCATTTACTAATACTAAGTCATTTTTACTCAGTATTAGTAAATGTGGTTGAAAGACCAATTTAGGTCTTTCAGCCTTTTAGTAGATGGCTCCCTGATACTGTGGGAATTAGGGAGTTATCTACTAAGCGGCTACAAGGTGCAGCCACAGCAAGAATAGGATCGGAGTTTCATTCATTCAAATGAAATTCCGATCCGAATAAAATGCCGAATTGAGTTCTAAAAGAAACGAACATACTGTTCTCATTCAGTTAGAACGCAATTCGGCAGTTTCGTCTAAAATGACAGGAAGCATCGTGGGAACACAGAGGAAAGGTGAGAATTATGGGAACATTGCTCTGGCCAGCGGAAATGAAGCACACTTTGCTCCTCCGCTGGTCAGAGCTGGTCAAGCAGAGGAATCCTCCATAAGGCAAAGAGTCCCTACTTTGTCTTATGATTTTAAAGAAAACTAAAGAAGACAGGAAGAAAAGAAGAACAGATCCTGAGAGAGGGGGAAAAGAGGAAGATATTGAGGAAAGGTAAGTTCGGCATGACAGTGCCGCTTTAAATGCCAATACACATTTCGTTGGGTAAGCTTCTTCAATTGGCTGTGATGTCTTCCAGGTTCAGAAATTCATTTAAATATCCATGTTCAATTAATCCTTTATGATCACACGGTGCATGTCCTCCAGTTAGTGAGCTTTATGGGCAAGATGCCCTTATTGCAATATTATTATTATTATTATTGCCATTTATATAGCGCCAACAGATTCTGTAGAGCTTTACAATATTATGAGAGGGGGTGATTTAACTATAAATAGAACAATTACAAGAAAACTTACAGGAACAATAGGTTGAAGAGGACCCTGCTCAAATGAGCTTACAGTCTATAGGAGGTGGGGTCTAAAACACATTAGGACAGGAAATAGCAACCAAGTAAGGTGGGAGTGAAGCAGACCTGGAGGAGAGAGTAAAGTGATGCCTTTTAGGAGAGAACAAGGGACAGGTGTGTAAGGTAGAGGATACTCTGGGAGGCCATAAGCTTTCCTAAAGAGATGGGTTTTAAGGCACTTCTTAAAGGAACACTAGGGGAGAGTCTGATGGGGGTAGGCAGGCTATTCCATAGGAAGGGAGCTGCCTTGCGAGAAGTCCTGCAAGCATGAGTTGGCCGTACGGGTGCAAGCAGCAGTCAAGAGGTGGTCATGGGCAGAGCGGAGGGAATGAGGAGGGGAATACCTATGGATCTGTGAGGAGATATAAGAGGGGGTAGAATTGTTCAATGCTTTATATGGGTTAGCACTTTGAATTGACTCCTATAGGATACAGGAAGCCAATGTAGGACTGACAGAGGGGTGAGGTGTGAGAGTACAGACTAGAGAGGAATATCAGTCTGGCGGCAGCATTCATTACAGACTGTAGTGGGGCAATACAGCTTCAGGAGAGGATCACAATAATCCATGCGGGAAATTACTAGAGAATGGACAAACTCCTTGGCAGCATCTTTTGTAAGAAAGGGGTGGATGCAGGCTATGTTGTAATCTACAGGATTTGGCAACAAACTGGATGTGAGACTCAAAGGTGAGGCCAGAGTCAAGTATGATGCCAAGACAGCATGTGGACTTATGTGGATACCACTGACTTGAAGGGAGAGCGAGAGAGGAGGATCGGTATTAGGAGGAGGAAAGACGAGGAGTTTAGTTTTAAAGAGATTGAGTTTCAGAAAGCAGGAGGACATCCAGTCAGAGATGGAAGAAAGGCAAGCAGTGACACGTTGTAGGATGGCAGGGGAGAGGTCTGGGGAGGAGAGATATATTTGGGTGTCATCAGAGTACAGGTGGTAGTGGGATCCAAAAGAGTCAATAAGTTTGCCAAGAGAGGCAGTATAAAGAGAAAATATTAGAGGACCAAGGACACAGCCTCGGGGAACTCCAACCGAGACAGGAGGAGAGGAGGTATCCTTGGAAAAGGAGACACTGAATGAGCATTGGGAGAGATAAGAGGAAAACCATGAGAAAATAGAGTCACAGAGACCGAGCGATTGAAGAGTTTGAAGAAGGAGAGCATGATCAACGGTGTCAAAGGCAGAAGAGAGGTCAAGAAGAATTAATATGGAGCAGTGGCCTTTGGATTTAGCTGTCATTAGGTCATTAGTAACTTTGATAAGAGCAGTCTCAAAGTAGAGACGGCGGAACCTAGACTGAAGAGGGTCAAGGAGAGAGTTTGAATTGAGGAAGCGAGACACACGGGTAAAGACAAGTCTTTCCAGAAGCTTTGAGGAAAAAGGGAGCAGGGATATGGGACGATAGTTAGAAGGACAATGCCAGAAGAGGGAGAGCAGTTGAAGATGTTTGTTAAGGAGAGACAAGACAAGGGGAGAGAGATATAATGAGGTGAGATGGGACAGGATCGAGCGGGCAAGTGGTGGGGCGAGAGGAAAGGAGAAGAGCAGCGACCTCATTTTCATTAGCTGGAGAGAATGTCTGAAGGGTAGGAAAGGCATGATCTACGTGTGGTTGAGAAAGAGAACGTCAGGGTGGGGAT